AGGCTGACTAATAATGCAAGATTTGCAGAGGATACAATATTGCAGGCAGAAAGCAGCAATGAATTCAAATGGCTGCTGGTGAAAGTGCAGAAACAGGACTGCCACTCAGCATTCACTCAAATCACAACTACCGGGGGATTACAGAAATTTACTATATCAGTGTGAAAGCTGGGCAGTTAAGAAAGCTGACAGGAATGAAACTGATGCACATAAAACATGGTGCTGGAGGAGAGCTTTGCAAATCTCCTGGCCTGAGAGAAAGTCGAACAAGTGTGTCTTAGATGAAATCAAGCCAGAACTTTCCCTAGAAGCAAAAATAGCAAAGCTATGGTCATCGTATCTCGGGCAAATCATGGAAAATATCATCACGCTGGGGAAAGTTGAAGGCAGGGGAAGAAAGGGAAGACAAAATAGGGGATGGGTTGACTCCATAAAGGAAGCTACATCCTTGAACTTACAAGAGCTGAGCAAGAGTGTCATGAATAGGACTTTCCTTCATAGGGTTGCCATAAGTTGGAGATGACTCAGTGGCACATAATAAAGAACAGGCATATCTTGAGATCTTCTCCTTGCAGCACATGCATCTTCTTATGAACGTATGTAATACCTTTGCTTTGACACATATTTGCAAAATGAGCAGATCTTCCACAGTTTCTGCAACCTTTTGCACATGTGGGAGATGGTCTTTGTCTAAGGGGGATGACTACAACTGGAGCAGAGCATTAAGCTTGAAGCAACACTTGAAACAGATTTTGCAGTCTTCTCCTTAGGCAGCTGGATTTTCTTTTTAACACTTTCTGTCTTTGTTTTGCAAAGCATCCACTTGTCTTCCAGCTGATCCCAGTCCTTGTCATTTCCTCACAGTCGCCTTCACTATTCTGCAGATCTTTACACTTTTCCCCCAAGATCAAATCACTTCCTCACATCAGCTTGTCCTCAGATGGCCCCGTCTTATTCTGCCACAGCCCTGCCCTTAATGAGAGACTTGCAGAGCTGGCTAAACTCAGGGGACCATGAGAGTAACTTCAAAACAGACCTGTAAGGGAAATACTTTCTTCCTCTTCCTGTGCTGCTGAGAACTTGTGCCTCTCAAATGCAGCATTTCTTGTAGGTGCACAACCTAATGCAAACTCCTTCAACGAAACGTGCATCCCATGCCTGTCTGCCTCTTCATCAAAATGGAAAGTTTCTGTACTTCCCTTGCCTCTTCTCCTGCTTGTATATCCCATCTTTTCCCTTTAAAGCAGT